TGTTAAGGAGTTGAACTGCCAAGGCCAAAGGCGGTTCGAATCCACCAGCTGCTCCGTGGCGGGAGTGAGGGCACTCCCCTCTCCCCGGCTGCCTCTGGAAACCTGCTGGAGGGTCAGGCATGAGTGGGCCTGACTCAACGGCATGAACAACTAGGCTCTGGTGGCCTCACCTGTATGGGGCGTGCGCTGCTATCCCAAAGCCAGCATCTGCCTGTGGCGGTTCCAACCCACCAGCAGCTTTGAGGGAGAAAGATGGGTATTATCTTCCCATGCAATTTATAGCCGCTGAAGACCCACAGCTCTGAGTTGCTCTTACTCCACAGGAGGCCTGTGCGCCTGTCTCTTGGCGCTAGGCATGGTTTTGCTTAAGCCCAGGTACATGTTTTCCAGTCCTAGAAAAAGTCAGCTCGTGGAGGTGTTAGGGAGCTCTGGTGACCTGGTGGGCAAGGAGCTGGAGAGCTAGCTAAGGCGTTGGTTCCAGCTCAATGGCAATGAGGTGTGTTATTTAATGTGCTTTCAATCAAGGTGCCTTGTTGAAACATGACACGTTTGAGGAGGAGGTGGCAAATTGCCTCGAACTGCTCAGCTGACCTTGGGGTCCCATGAGAGGCAGCTTAAGAGCACCTACATTTCTATTGCTCCCCAGCCAGTGCTGTGGGAGAACTGGTTTTGAAGGGACCTGCTCTTGCCTGATGATTCCAAGTCAGAAAGCATAACCCCAAGTAACATTGGCACGGGTCCCAGGAAGCAGTCCCTGTTGGCTGCAGCCGCTCCAAGCTCAGCAGGGCTGTTCCCCAGGTTCTCTCCCTCACTCCCCCATGTTACGTTGTCTGGTGGCTTCAAGTATGAGCCACTGTGACCTTATCAACAACAGATTTGAATGCTGTCCTATCCTGTGCCATCCTCACACTTCCTATTAGAGCCCATTGGGGCAGTCACTGTGTCAATCAACCTGGTTGAGGCTTCTCTCCTTTTTGGCTGATCCTCCACCTTTCCAAGTACGATATCCCTCTCCAAAGAATAGCCTCTCCTAGCAACATGCCTGTATTATGTGAGACAGAGCTTTATCATCTTTTGTCTCCAAGGAGCACTCTCCGGCTGCACTTTCTCCAAGACATATTTGATGTTCTCTTGGCAATCCATTAAATATTCAGTGCTCTTCTCCAGCACCACAGCTCAAAGGCATCGATTCTTTTTCTGTCATCCTTATTCACTGTTCTGTTCTCAGATGCATAGCAAGTGATTGGAAAGACCTAAATCAGATGCACCTTAGTCCTCAAACTGGCATTATTGCTCCTCAGGAATTTGGAGAGGTCCCTGACTACAGACTCTTCCCAGTGCACTACGTCTCCTGATTTCCTGACTGCTGGTACCAAGGGTGTTGACTGTGGATCCAAGCCAAGATGAAATAGTTGACAACTTCAATCCTTTCTGCATCTGTCACGATGTTCCCCACGATGGACACTCCCAACCACCACGAGAGATAACAAATATCTTTGGAGGAATCCAATTTGGACTCACTGAACTACATCTCAAAACATTCGGTGGTTAGCAGATCTGAAGGTCCATGTCAGAACATTCTCATTCCAAGGGATCCCCAAAGAACACCACGCCAGCCCCCTTGCCAACTCGGCTGCTGAGGGGAAATGAGAAAAACAATCATCTCTCTTTTGCAGAGCTGCAGGTGGTGCTGTTTGGGCTGCAAAAGTCTACAATCTAGAGCAGCAGCTCTGGTGGTCTAGTGGAAAGGTGTGCTGCCAACTCAAAGCTGGGCGGTTTGAACCCACCAGCTGCTCCAAGGGAGAAAGATGGGCAATCTCCTCCTTGTGCGATTTACAGCCTTTGAAAACCCACTAGAAGTTCGGCTGAGAGGGCTGAAATGCATTAGGTCACAGAGGAGGCAAAGGAATTGAGATTAATGAGCTCTGGTCATGTAGTCTGTAGGGAGTTGAGTTGCTAACCTGTAGTTGAAACATTTCTGATTTACCAGCAGCGCCTTGGGAGAAGGATGGGCGCTTTCCTCCCCTGAATTTAGTCTCAGAAAACCTGCTACCAGTCAGTTTTGGCCTGATGCTGATGACTGTCTGAGTCAGAAAGCAGTTTGCTGAAGGAATGGATCAGAGAGGGACAAGGATATGGAAGAAGATACAACTGAAACTGATCTACAGTGGGCGGTCATGGCCTCCACTCTCTGGACAAGGAGTGCAGGCCCTGGGTGACCCTGAGGAATAACGGCTCCCGGGTATTGCTGGTTTTATTTTTTGTCACTGCTGTTCCCAGCACTAAGTCAAGAGCTGGCATTTTACTAAGTCCTCTGATCTGGTTATTCTGCTTTCCCATCTTCAACAACCAGCAAGACCTCCAAGATCCCTTCAGCCAGCTCGGCTCCTAAGAGCTCACACACTAGACTGCAGATTATCAGCCTCTTTGTTTCCCCAATGGACGGTGCCTGGTCACTCAGTTTGTGGCATGCACACACCAATGGCAGGCTGTCAACATAAACACACTGAGTCAGAAATAAAATGCCAATACATTGAGCTCAGAAAACAAACAAATGGAAAAGTATCTTATATAGTCAGTTCCCCACAAGGTGGGCCCCGTCTCCCAATGCTGAGCAGCTCGAAGTTGGAAGTGAGAACCAGGCACAAGTAGTTCGTGCCCGCCCAGCAACTAACAGTGTCAACGTGACACATCCTCATAAGGGGGGGCAGGTCAACTGAGGCCCAGATCAAAAAGCCAAGGTCATGTAAGAATCACAGAGGCAGAATCCCTCTCAGTTGCTTTGAAAGTACCGTGGACCTTCTATGCTTCATACTGCAGGCATGCTGCTAGGAGAGGCTAATCCCTGGAGAAGGACATCATATACAGGAGGGTGGAAGGACAGTGAAAAGAGGGAGACCCTCAACCCAGTGGAGAGAATCGGAGACTGAGCAATGGACTTAGGTGTGTCAGAGACTGAGAGGATGGCAAAGGACAAGACAGGGTTCAGATCTGTTATTCCTAAGTTTGTTTGTTCATCCCAGACTTCAGAAACTTTTAACAAGAAGCCTCTTCTAGCCTAAGAAATAAATTTGTTTCTTAAAAAAATTCTGAAAAGAGTTAAAAATTGAGACCAGTACTATGACTTGATAGTTTAGCTTTCAAAGATGGCTCTTTTACAAAACCAAACAATTTGATGTGGCCTTAGGTGAACAACAGGAACAAGAATTTGCACTTTTTTAAAGAAAAATTCATCCTGAAAACATTTTTCCCAGAGTGGAAGTGCCGCAGATGATAGATTTCTTGAAACATGCGAGAGGTGGCCCAGAGAATTCCAAACCAGAAGTGACATCAGGAAAACGACCACGCGGGTCACAAGTGGCATTTTGTGATCAAATTTATTTTTTGTTTAAATTTCATTGACTTTGTTTTACTGTAATTTACACAAGAGACTGCCAAGTATACTAGGTATTTTACATTCTCCACGCATCCCCTCCGTTCTCCGCGGTTGTTAGGAAAACATTAAGATTCATGCGCTGGGCTCGCATGGCTATGTGGGCCCCGGCTCCCCCAACGATGCTACGGACGCCAGCAAGAGTTAAAAAGTTCATTACAGGGACTAGACTCTTTAGTTCATAAAATTAACCATAATTCTCCTCGCAGCGAACGCTTCGCAGACAGTGACGATGCTCTGACAGACCTATCTCGCAACAGTGCCCAGAGAGTGCATGCTTGTCTAAATTCACCCTGAGTACCTGGGAGACAGAGGAGACGTGCGCCCGGCTGCTGCGCGAACAGACATCGTGGTGCAGCAGCGGACCAACACAGCTCTGTCCAAGTCACTGCTGTCACTTGGGTGGGGACATGGGACACCTGGAAAGGCCAGGGGCAGGGAGGGTGGGCTGTCAGCGAAACAGACTAACACAATCTGACTAGTGGGGCTGGTGTGTCCTAGGAAGGATGGGAGGTTAGACAAGACAGTTTGTGACCTGAAGGCTTCCAGAGTATTATTCTATTCAAGCTTCTACAACTGACGAGAGAGGAACTGATCCGGACAGAGAAAGCTGATAAAAATCCCACCTGGCTATTGTTCCTTTCGTAAAAATAACGAGAGAAGGCGGCAGTGGTGTCTAACCGGCATTCAGCCAAGACGTGTGCCGATGGCCGCCCGCTGAGGAGCTCATCTGGGCAGGCGAGGCTGTATCTGTGAGTCATCCTAGCTCCCAGTCAGCGTCTCCCCTTTAAGGTGTATTTCCAACAGGACGAGAGAAACGTCATTGCTAGTCTGCCCTGTGAGCTGCGAGGCATCTAGACCATTTGCATAGTTTCCAAACTAGAATTTTTAAAAACAGTCATTTCAGAAACGAGACCCCAGAGATGTCGCTCTTTGTCCAATTTCTCCTCACAGCCTGTAATTGCTATGACGATCCATCTAGCCATCAATTTCCTTTGACAGGTGCATGGAAATCACATTTATTACAAATCACAAACCATCACTGTCATTTTTTGTGGTTTTTTTTTTTTGCTAGATTTGATAGTACAAAAATACTTGAAATTTAAAATACAAAAATCCAATAAAAACCAGAATTTTTTATTTCCCCCCCTCCTTCCTAAAAGGATTTTCCCCTTCAGGGCACACAAGTAAAAATTGGCATGTAAATTTACTCCTTCCTATTAGATAGTGTCAAATTCGGCTGTAAGATTCATAATCAACTGGAAATAAATAGTCATAAATACATTCAGGGTTTCCATGCCAGGTTACCTGGTCTACCAAAAAATTTAAAAGTACATTTTTCCCCCCTTTTGTGGGCCTAAACTGACAATCTGTAAGAGACTGATTCAAAAAAACAGAAATATAATAAAAGGCGCTATATATATATTTATATATATTGGTCCACACTTGCAAGTCATGAAGCATACCAGCTAGTATTACATTGCAATCAATTTGTTTCATTAAGGGTATTACTCTTGATGGTTATTCGAATCTGTTCCAAGGTGATAGATACTGAAAATATTTTTCTTTTGCATTCTTGCGGAAGATAGGTACAGTACTTTGGAGAGTGTCCTAATCCCTTCAGCGTGTTTGTATGTACAGCTATATACACAGTGTGTGTGCCCCTTTCTCTGTAGCTCTACATGCATTTTATATACAGCTACAGACAGACATGTACATATATACACCGGTGGCTGACCACTGTGCAGGTGTGTACATGGCCACAAGCACACGTCGGGGAAACGGCAACACTGCAAGATATTGGTCAGATTCTTCTTCACTCGTCACTGGCTGCACTGGTTCCCCTCACTTGACCTTGATTACGTAACTGGAAGAAAAAGGAGAGACAAGTGCACTCTGTTAGCACACAGGAGGCACACGCATGGGAAATGATAGGCCTGTCACCCACATTCTTCATGGGGAAGGCAGGGGATTCATAACACAGCAAAACTTTCAGCAGGAAAACGTACCCACCCACGATCTCACTCTCATATTTTATAAACTTAAATCCTTCCTTCTTTATCATCTTCATTAATGGCACTGCATTAATGGTCTTATTAATGGCATTGCATATCTGTCCGAGGGGAAGATAAACTAGAAAACCACAAGTAAATTGCAGAAACGCAGAACTTAACAAAAGTAACAACTTAAAAAAATTTGAATGAACACTGAAAGGGTTTTATGTTTGTTTGGTCTTTTCTTGTTGTGGACTGTCAAATTGGATGCAACTGGCACAAGAGGAGATTGCTTCTCCTTCTCCAGGAGAGCATCTGGTAGATTTGAACCATGTGCCTTCGGATTGCAGTGCAGCTTATTGCCATTAGTGCACCAGAGCTCCCTTCTAAAGAAAGGGTTTTAAATGGCTCTTGGGGGAGTGAATTCACTCTTATTTGATACAACTTCTTGTAGTGAGTACTGGGGTTCTGCTTACGCCCATGCTCAATGATGAAAGAGGAGGTAGCTCATATAAGAGGGCAGCAAACAATGGTGGGGGGACAGTGGCAGTGCGTGATCTTGTTCTCGCCTACCCAACAGATTTAATTCAATATTAACAAATGAAGATTTTTTTGTTCCTCACACTGGTTTCATTCAAAGCGTGACACAGATTTTTACACTTTTCTCTCCTCTATGAAAATCTCTTACTGGAGTATATCAATCTTTAAAGGAATTTTTAAACCACAGAAATATTTTCTATTGCAAATGAAAACCAACATGCATTTACACATATAAAGGCTAACTGTGAGGCTATCTGAAGACTGAACACTGAAAGACTTTTTGAGATGTAGAAAACATCCATGAAACAGATAACTGAGACATGCTTTCATGGTATGGGTCTACAGCGTTCCTTCAGTGAGAACGAAAGTGCCTTTACAATACTTCCTTAAGCTACAAGTGGTCCTACTAAGAAACAGGTCGACTGAATAGGTTTCAAACCAGTTCTTCTTGGTTTCTGTCAAGGCTAAGTGATACCAGAACAGGCTCAAATCTGTAAAATGTGTATGAATTGGAAGCAGAAAAATTATAGGTGAAAAATGTCATCTTCTTCATAGAAAGCAGGAGCAGTGTCTGAGGTACAAATCTCTTGACCTGCAGAGTCAGAAACAGCAGTGCTCAGCTCAAAGATTAATTGCTGACCAAACTGCTTTGACTATGAGCTATTCTTCCATAGTCTGAATAATAATCCAATCACGAGGGTCCTGAAAAATGATGCCTGCGTTTTCCAGGGCTTCAACCCTTCACCCTTCCTGCTCTGGTTACTGTTCCACTTAATTAATTTCTAAAAATTTGGGTCTGTTCTGATTTCACACAGCTGGTTATGACTGCAACAATTCTAAAGGGTTCAAATCCCTGCAATTCACTGGCTCTCAACAAAAACTCAGCTGGGAAGTGTCCTTGGCAGCTGGTTTCTAAGCCATAAGGCTAAAAATTAGCCCAGGATTACAAAATCCAATCTGTAGAATGGTATTCTTACATGATAACATTTCAAGTGTTTCCCTGTCAATTTTCAAAGCATGGAAATTTTTACATTATACAAATAAAACTACTTCAAACACTTCAAAGTTAGCGCTCTGCTCAGAAAGTTAACTACCCGTCACCGGCATGGTATTGGTTTTAAACATTCTTTTTCATCCAGGTCTTCACTTACACAGCTTGATATTGTCTTTGACCCTACAGGGGACTCATCTAGACATCAGCAGCCGACGTGCCTCGGACGGAACCCTTCTTACGTATCTAAACGTAAAATAAAATCATGAGCTGCTAAAATCACAAACTCTAAACAGGGGTTAGTAAACATGGAGGAGAAAGAGCTGAAGTGACATGAAGGCGGCCTGCTTGTACTCATATGCATGTTGAGAATGAAGTTCTGAGGATCCTTGGTCTCAAGGCACTTTTATGAAAAGGCCTTTCTGACACAACATGAACCAAATTTAGTGAAATCAAGGAAACAAGAGCAAACAGACTGATGATATGAAATGATCAGACAGCCTGAGGACAGGTGAACCACTCTCCATGTAACATGGGGAACCCCCACAAGGGTCTGGTCTTTTCATAGAGACCAACAAGGAGCCATGGGGTGTCATCCCCTCTCTGCTTCTAAGACCAGGGCCTCTCAGGAGTTCTTAGGAAGAAGTTTACTAAACAAACAAACAGACAAAACCCAGGAAGAGGAAAAGAACAGGACACAGTACAGGAACAACAAAACAAGGACATAAGGCTGTATCAGAAAGACAGGAAAATTCACAACAGCAGCCTAACTAACTTAATGAGGGGGATAAAAAGCCACGAAAAGAATGAACAGGAAAGGCAGAAATACAATGACTACACACAAAGACCCAAACCCCTATTCCAACAGAGATATGAATGGAGAACATTCATATAGCTGAACATCCCATGTACCCTCTGGATGCAAGGCCCAGTCCCAGAGGCCCAGGGCTGTAAGCAGGGGCAGACCTCTCGCCTCACCACTCACGTGATATTAAGCTGTGGACTGTCTCAAAAAACATGTGGTAAATAAACCCGAACCTCTAGGCCTGTGGTTAAGCAGCCCCAGTGGCAGAGTGCCTTATGTACCATGCTGCAAAATGAACAGTCCGAGGTTCAAATCCAGTCCATGGGAGAGAGATGGGCATTCTCTTCCTATGAGACGTGGAAAGCAGAGATGGAAGAGAAATGTCTAGATCCAAAAAGATCTCCAAGAAGCCAAAAAGGAGAAGCTGAAGAGACAAAAGACCTCCAGTGCTGACAGAAGACAGAGAGACTCAGCCTGAGAGTAGCACCCTGACTCTGGACTTCCGGTCTCCCGAATGGTAAAGGGATAAATGTGTATTCATTAAACCATGCACTGTAAATGGCCTTTCAGTGATAGGAGAATGACAGTGCTTCAAATGCTATTACCAAGTTACAGATGAGGGGAGACCTCTGACCATGAAGAGGACTTGGGAGGGAAGGGGGTGACTGGAGCCTGGTCTATGGGCAAGCAGCCATCCAGAGTCTGAAGATGCTCATATACCAGCTCTTGGGACTCGCAGCAGAAGTTCAATGTGGAACACAGCACTGCCTGATGGCGGTGCAATGTGTTATACACTGCACTGCGGACTGAAAGGTGAGTGGTTTGACTCCACCAGCTGCTCTACAGGCCTGGAAGCAGGAAGGAAGGCTGGTAGGAGTTGGCAATGACAGGACGGCAGTAGGCTGAATGGTCCAGAGAAATACAGATTCTCATGCAAGTACTAGCACAAGAAATCTGTCTTTAAAAGTTCTGAAACATTTAACAAAGAACCGTTCATCTACTCTGACCATGAACCAATGACACACTTCTACCAGCTTCAGAGGGAACTGATCCTTTCTTGCTGTGTGGAAGCAGTACTGTCTAATAAAATGGGCCGCTGTCTAATAACTTGTCTGTCTCATGCGTCTTTACTGTGCACAACTCCCATCTCGGTGGAAGCGAGCATCCCTACCTCACGTAAAGGGTCTCTGGGTTGATGACGGGACCAGTCTCTCTTCAGAGATCATGGGACTGCAAATATAAAGGCAGCAAGGCGGGGTGGAAGAGGTCTTGGCCAAGTTCTGTCTCAGGGGTGCAGAGGCCCGCACCAGCTCATGAGTGATCTCCTCCCCTTCCGGTCAGCTCGGCCTAAGAACGAGAATCTGGAGGAGGGGGCGCCTCCTCGGGGCCTAACCAAGAACCAGTTTCCTGCTGTGGCTGCTGAGTCCCTCTGAGAATGCCAACATGGACAATGAGGGCAAGTACACTGTGGCCTTCTGAATGTCCAGCAGCTGTGAGGAGCTGAAAGGGGAGCTGGCAGGTACCTCTGGAGCCAAAGCAACTGGGATGGAGGCAAATCGGGCAAGGCAGGAGGAAGAGGATTAAAAATGAGGTGTTTCTCAGAGGGCAGCATCTGGCTCCTGGGAAAGGGAACACACAGTGGGAACAAAGCTGAGAAGCACCCACATGTTCCTGTGTGTGTATTCCGCCTGGGTGTGGGGGTAGAAGACAGTCTCCTCAGTACCCCACTCCTAAGATCCAATGCTTGGTCATGTAAGAAGTATGAGAGGTGGGGGTCATAGTGGCTGACTGGCCAAGAAACCATATCCTGGTTTTTAGAATGTCGTTTCTGTGGGAAAAGTATGTTCCAAATTTCAAACATATCAACTTAAAAAAAAAATTTGGAACGAAGTCCATTCATAAGTTGGAGACGGTCTACGGTTTACTTTATGTTTAAGATAAGGTTAAAATATTTTATTGCCTTATAAAGAAAGTATGTCCGAGGCCTCTCAGAAGGTTTGTGCAAAACTAATTAGAAGCAGATCTGCTATAATCACCAAAAGTAAGCAATCTCCACACAGATTCTTTAGGACGCACTGTGCCAGAGAAATGGATTTCCTCTGATGCCAAAGAGCCTGACTGGCTGCCATTCTTCTGTGATTACACGGAGCTCCTGCCGCACACACAGGCATTTGTCAAACACAAACACGCGTGCCTGCAGGGCTTCCAGTGCTGGGAGGACTTTCGCTGATGACTGCATGGAAACTCCTATCCTGCAGATTCCTCGAGTTCAGATCCCCAGTGGGGCTTTACTGCCAACTGCAGAGAAGAGGGGCTTAAGCAAAATAGCAAGACCAGACTCATGCAAGACAAGAGTCTGGAAGAAAGAGGAGCTGGCGAGGGAGAGCAGGCTTGCATTCTGACAGGGTAAGCAGACATGTGGCCCAAGAGTGTCCTGGATTCCTGCGTGAGGCTTGGTGGGAGAAGGGGATAAAAGAAAAAAATCAAGGCTCTATCACTAGTTCAGGGCTGGGGAAGGCATTTCTAGAAGCAATGGCAATATACTAGCCTTATTTTTTTACAGAAGAAGGAAAAAAGACTTAGTGTGACAGCAGATGCAACCCTCTCGCCCACCCCAAATGAGCCCAAGATGGTTTGACCTGGCACAGTTGAGTATTTATTAAGGTACTCTATGAACTAGGCACCATCACAGAGAAAGAATGTATAAAAAGAACATACACACACACACACACACATACACAAAAACACTGGGCGTTTGACAACACATTCTAGATTAATCTACCTTCACAAATGCAGCTCAACAGAAAAATCAGAAAAGAAATTGGAAAGCAGGAGATTAGTGTCTGAGAAACGTGATTTTGATGAAGATAGATAGGTTAGTGAATGGCTTTTAGTAACACTTGTCTTCATCCCAAGCCTATGGTTACTAAAAATGCAAACAGTTTTAGAAAAGAAGAAGTAGACAATTCCCATAGAATGGGGAAGTCTTACTGTTTCTAGTTCCTTCTGTGTTTCATCTTCCATTCTCCTAATGTCTTCCATTGTCAGATCAATCCACTTGTCGATCCAACAAAAAAGCTGGCGGTGAAAATTTGTAAATATCCTTTTTTCTTGCTTTTAAGACAAAACAGAAAAAAAAATTAGTGTAAGATTACAAAAACCTAACACTTGTGGCATTAACGACAGACTAACTTTAGTACATGCTAATCCACACCTTAAAGAGCCTATAAAACCTTACATATCCTAAAACGAACAAAATCTATGAAATTCAGACAGAGTTGGAAAGACCACTATACTGCCACTGAAAATCATTTTGTCCAACAATATAAAAATAAAGATGTCTCTCTGGAACAAGAAACAACCTTTTCTGGCAATGATAGCATGGTTCAGCAGAAATGAAAGAAATATGATGGGCATGTTCTGATCCAACATAAATTCTTATCAGAACGGATTTGGCTTTACTTTCTTCTAAATGTCGATGACCAAAGGTCAAACTGATTTTTTCTTCTGTAAACCATACATTATCATTCTTAGCATCTCTGAAATCCTAGGGAATATTGTTGGAGAGGAATAAATACAGTTATTGGGTTTTGAACTAAGAGGTTTTGTTAACTGAAGAATTATTATTCTTTTCTCTCTCTTTCTGCTTTGTTATGGCCATCATATATACTTAATATTTATAATCAGTGGTTTTAATTGCTGGGTTATTGACGTTTTGCTCAACTTTTCCAAGAAGGGAGAAAGGACATGGCACAATGAGTACTTCTGGACAATCTTCAACTTTTTAAACTTTCTTGCATGAATGTAAGGGGCTTCATCATTTCCATCTGGGACTTCTCTTTATCAGAACCGGATTATGAATTTATTCCTACAATCCAAGAGCCAAAAAGCCAGCCAGCATTCACCGAGTGCCTCCTGGGGGCCAACTGCAAGCAGGCTCAACGATAAGCATGCTCCCAGCATTTTAAAGTCAAGTTTTCTTTTGAAAATTGTGATAAAACATGTCTAACACAAAGCCCGTTGTTACTTTTTTAATTAAGCACATCATTCAAAGACCTTGCATTCAATGTGTTCTGCTACCATTATCCATTTTCAAAAATCACCCATCATCCTAAAAGGATCCTTTTCTTAACACGGCTACAGTTTGAAAGCAGCAAAGATATCGTAACATCATATAACGGATGTTTCTTCGTTATGACAACAGAATCAATGTCCACACCAGAGAAAAACACCGTCAGCAACACTAAAGCAGCTTGGTACGGTCCTTGTGTTTTTATTCAAGTACAAATCTCTCTCCCTTCCTTAGATCTGATTGCCTCTGCCACGTTCACTTTAATAAAGACATGAGAAAAGCAATCAGAATTTGGACCCTCAGATTACTCCAGCGTCCAATGATTCTCAGTGAGAACAAACATTTAAAGACAATCTGTGCGAGGGTGCAAGGTGCATGTGTCATGAGAGATATGTGTGAATATGTGCCTACAAGGAGCCTCCTGGGGTTGGCCCTGCCCTCTCTTTCCAGCCAGTGCAGGATGTCAGTCCCCTGGGGAAATGGCTGTGTCCAAGGAAAGAGTAAACTACACCAGAGCTGGGCAGACCAATCAAAAACAAGACAATAGGGATTTGAAGAGGTGGGGTGGTAATATGCATAAATGAGTAATAATTAATTCTGTAAAATAATATATACAAATGATTATAAAAAACACAATGTACACAAATTAAATACAATGCATATATGAATGACTGTATACAAACTAATAAATTAAAATTTTATAAGTATTGTCAACAAAGAAAATGGCTAGGTTCTTCCTCAAGGAAAATCTCTTCATGTCTCTGCTACCGTGTTTCTTAGCTGTATCTAAGCAGAGGGGAGGAAAAAAAAAGAGAAAGGGAAATAGGAACAAAGCAGGGTTAACAATTCTCATCTCCCAAGAGGAACATGGAAAGTGGTAACAGGAAATGCCCAACAAAGAGCCGTCTTCAAATATTAAGTTGCAGCCGCGGCGTTCCAAGTGGGCTTACCTTCTGAATGAAGTTTTCCACTTTGCTCTGCAGCCCCCACCACTTGAATTTGATGGTCACCAGCTTATAGGCACACATCTGGGGACCGTCGGGGTTGTTGGCCAGCTCCTTCTAGAAGGGGGAACACAGAAGACGATAAATTATGTTCTGATTAGAATCAACGGCTGTGTAACGACGTCAAAGGCGTGCAGGAAGAGAGACAACCCTCAGATGGGTTTAATTCTGCTCTTTGCAAGATCGAAATCATTTTATCTGCAGCAGCAGTATTCCCTGGCTGCAAACCCTCCTTCCACAGACGAAGTTATTCCTAAAATCTCAAGTTTAACAGATGCCTTGCTCAACCTCAAATTACACTATTCAGATTTCCTATTAACTAGCAAATACTATTCATGCTGCAGCCGACAGTGAGCCCTTAATACGTACGGGCCCTCCTAAACCCATTTTCCCTCTTCTGTGTCTTCAAATATCAGCAAAGGGGAAAGGGCACTGCTTTATTACCTCAGGCATGCTCAGTAGCAGGGGGATCTGAGAAGCGATAAAGCAGCAAAAATTATCTGTAATTGTCAAAGTTTAGAGAACTGTCTCAGATATGTAGACTTTCATTTACACAACTGATCAGACCTCATCATTTAAATGGCACAGGTGGGGAAACAGGACAAGACTTGTTTGGGTAAAAAGTAGAAGGGAGAAAGTAAGAGGGAGATAAGATTGTTCTTGATGAAAAGACACCTAATGTACCTGCGTGGAGATAGCAAGGGCAGAGGGAGATCAGGAAGGCAGAAAAGGGCAAAACCAATGTGATACCACAACAGTTGCATCTGGGTGAGGGCATGCGTGGTCCCAGTTTTTGTGTTTGGGGGAAAGTTCTGCTAGGTTTTCATTATGAAATCTGAGAGAAACTGCAACCCTGTCAGGGTTTGATGCACTACAATTTCTGTGAAGCAGATCAGTGTAGGCTTTCACGCAATTAACTTTGGGGAGATGAGAGCGGGGCACGAACCAGGAGCTTGTAGCACATGCTTGTTGTTTCCCTACAGACTTGAGTGCCAGAGACAGTGCCACCCGACCCGACCCAGCTGAGGCTCCAGGTCTCAGGTGCTCAGCATGCAGCAGAGCACAGGAGTTACTTATCAACTGCATCACAACAGCAAAGGGGATGTGGGGGTGTGGCCTGGGGAGGGGCTACTCTGGGAATGCTTGTGCTCATAAGAGGATGCTTCAGCTCCTTCCTAGGAGTATCATAACGTGTAACTAAAACTGCAGATGAGTAGCTGGAGTAAGACATACTTTGTTTTCTTTCTCTTTTATACTTGAATTGCACTCACTACTTTCAATCTGTAAAGCAATGTGAAATGAAATTTCCTCCTAAGAGCAAAAGTCATGGGTAGTAGCAGTGATTAATGTTTATAAACATGAAGCCAGTGAGCCAAAGGGTAGAGCAGCCTTTACAAGTGCTTGTCCCTTTGTCAACACTGTCATCAGCTTCATGTTGCACTCGAGAAGTCACGAGGCTGGCCCACTGGGCGCCACTGTCAGCCTCCACGCACGGCACACAGCAACGACGTGCTCTCACAGCCCATCTCCAGAAAGTTCACCGGGCGTGTGCAAGTCTTTCCATTCAGCTACAGAAACGCAATCTCAAAATGTGATCGATTCCTAGGTTTTATTCTAAAACCGCTTCTTCATTTAGGCAATGAAATCTAGTTTCAAGCGAATTAATTCTAGGGATGAGGCAGGTCAGAGTTTGACCCTGGTAACAACAATGAGCCTGGATGTTCTGTGAAGTCACCAGTTTTCTCAGAACAGCTCCTCTGTCACAACATTTCATCTGATGAAACCTGGCACACGAGTAAAACCCATGAGGTAACACCAGTAAGCATGTAGAAACAAATATCACACAACCCTGTCCTTCTGTAGGTAAGTCCACCATCGACAGAAGAACCTGGTTAGTGCGATCTTTCCTCTGCCATCATGTTCTCATCCGTAGGATTACCACTGTGAAAGCTCGGCACATATGCACATCCACATACACACAACTTGGTAATTTCTACACAAATCTAATCCAGCAAGTACCTAGTGGGTATCAATGATATATCTGCATTCTGTTCCAGGTGTAGTGAGGGAACACGAAAAGTGCCTGGGAGGGAGAATACAGATTCTATTATGTAAATAAACGAGGATAAAACCACCGCTTTGCTTGGTGCCAGCAGTCTTTCAACAGAGATATACTTGTTCTGTGGATGCTGGGGGCGGTGATCAAATCAGAGTTATACACTGGCCTCCCGCTCCAGGCCCTGCAGGCCCCACACGCTCAAGCTGGGCTCCTGTGTGGAAGCCGCAGACCAGCCTTCCACAGGAGGTAGCTAGCTTCTGAGTGGACAGTCTCACGAAAAAATGTACTTAGACTGGTCTTTTAAGGTTCATTTTATCAACACACAATGAGCTGGTGTTAGGGGGTACGCGCTCTAGAACTGTATCTCCTGGGGAGGGTCCGGAGCTCCTGCAGGTCTGGCTTCTTTGTCAGGAAAAGAAGAGGCCAGAATCTACCAGTCACTCCCCAGGGATCACCCAATAATCCCCAAGTCACCAGACATCTCACGATAAATAAAAACCATGGGTATTTCCAGGGTCAAAGCAACTCTTCAGAATTCAACAACAACTCTGGAGAAAACAGGAGGATGAAGCCTGGCTCTAATTAAAGGGTAAGATGAACGGAATACAGACATGCCCATGCCCAAACTGCGCTCTGGGAAGAGAGCGTGCGCACACGTGCCATCCACAATTAAGCAAATTTGTTTCTCACATTCTTTCCAGGGACTGACAGCACCCCCCACCCGAAAGCCCCGCCAATCATGGTGATGATACTGGTCATTTCAAATGGGCAGTGATCTATAAAACTATTTTAAGATGGTAAATGATAGGACAAAAAGAACTGAGTGAATTTCCAGATGCAAAATGTATATGCAGTCTCTACCCACTTTCCAGTTTCCACCCAACGTGCAAGTGACTCTTATTTCAAAGATAAATATATAACAAACTTTGGGAAAGAACAGCAAGTATGCAATCTGTTGTATATATGTATTTCTTGGCCAAAGTTTCCAAAGTCTCAATGCTCTGCAGTGTGAGTTCTTTACAGAGACATAACCCCACTGCCACCACAGGAAAGCTGAGCTCCGAGACACCTCAGTGTATTTGTTATATTACTACTAATATATACATGACATTTAAGGCCTCTGCCAATTCTAAAACGGATTTTTGTGATTCACCTCTTGATTTAAGATGTGGTCTTCAGACCATCTAATGAAATGAAGGGATGGCTTAAAACGTCCCTACTGGAGAAGAAATGAAAACCAGTGAAGCTGACACTGCTTAGATGTGAAAGCCAAACCTAACAGGACCTCCTGGCGTGAGAATGGAGACACCAATTCCATACTCAGAAATAGATTCTTCCCATGATGTTAATAACAAAAAACCAAAACAAACAAAATTATAAACTACCACTACAGGTGTATATATTACTACAAACACCTGGACTTAGAAGCACGGCATCTATTAAAAGTTGTGTTATAGCCGTAAAGTCAGAACCAATGCATAGCTGACCCTCCAGCGGGTCTTCAGAGGCAGTAAATCACACAGGAAGAAACTACCCATTTTTCTACCCCAGAGCAGCACAGTGGGCTTGAACTGTCTGCCTTTGGGCTGGCAGGAAATTCCGGATCCAGAGAACTTTCAGAGTTGCTGCCCCAACTTAAAAGGCTCACAGCCTGGGCAAAGCTCTTTCAGGACCTAACAAAACAAATGTTTCTGGCTTTCTTCTTCATCAGTTCAGATAATAATCACAAATTAAAGAAAGCCAAAATGTGAATTAAATAAGAGCTTTCATGTGGAACTTCAACCCATAGCAAATTGATGTATAATTAATTCCTAATCTAAGGCAAGACAGAATTAATTCTTACTTGTCCAAAATGTTTTTTTTTTAAAAAAAGGAAATAGATGAGTAAACAGAATTATTTTGTTAATGCACATGAGTTTATTTCCCTCCCCCCCTTTTTTTCCTTGCTGTGTGCCATCAAATCAGATCCAACTGTCACAGGAGGAAATTACTCCTCCTCCAGCGGAGCACGTGGTGGATTCGAACCACGTGCCTTCAGGAGTGCAGCACAGCTTCTTTCCACTAGGCCATCAGAGCTCCCCTTGATGCACAGGAGTTTTCTACAGATTCACTTCACATCACACCACACTAAATTCCAGTTTGAAACGAGTCCTCACTGAATGCGCTGCTGTAAATGACCCATCTTTCTCCCCTGTAGTTAACGGTGGGTTCAAGCCAGGGGAGAGGTACTGCCTTTGGGTTCTTTGGGTTCAAGTGCAACTCCTTACAGACTATGTTACCAGCGTTCCCTTTTGTACAGATTAAAGCAAAAAAGAGTAAAACAACAATTAAAAAAAATTTTTTTAAAAGTTGGAACTGGCTCACTGAAAAAAAAAAAAGAAAAGACAAGACAGTCCAATCACAAATCCCATAAGATGAGAATCACGGGCTAAGAGAGGAACCCAACACTGTGACTCATCGCTACATAATTTAAATTACATCTGAAATACAGCAAACACCAGCTAGTGAAACATTTCCAAGGTCTGATTTAAATAGCGTGTATACGCACGGAATTCCTTAAATTTCATGTTTCTAACTATACACATGAAACCCCAAAGCGCCCATCATGTTTTTAATTTAACAATGCATGTTCGCCTTCCCGAAGGTATGTGGCTGAGGCCTACGGGGGAGAAATGGATACTGCAGCCACACAACCTAACTAAACAAAGAACAGTGTGTTTAACTGGAACGGGGAGCAATCAGGCCCGTGTGATCCACAAGAACGAATTCCCTGTATCGGTGACAAACAAATATAAACACATGTTAAAAGGGAACTGAGAAAAAAAAAAAAAGGAAAAGAAAACAAATCCAAAGGCATTCTGGGAACTCATTTTTGAAATATGTCATCCTCTCCTCCAGAGCCTCCTGCCACTCTCCATCTCCTCTTTGTACGTAAAAACGCGTCGGTGTGAAGATGGGACAGGCTTATTATGAGCATTCTGATTGGAGAGGATACTTT